CTGTGAGAGAGAAAACAGACTTAGTTCTGCTAGCAAAGCCGGCTCTGGTTGGAGAAGACAGGCAGGTAGTCAGTCACAGTGGAGTCTTCCTCTTCCCATGGCCAAGGCAGTCCCCAGCTGGCAGGTATCATTAGTTCTCTATTTTTATCCCCTTCTAGTTCTATCCAAATCCCGTATTCACCTTCCACAGTAGGGCAGTTGCTATCTGTTCCCTCCAACTCCAGGACTACACACAAGCAAGCTAGCATATTCTAAATCGAGGAGACAGGGTCCTGGAGCCCTTGGAGAATCTGACTAGCTTGGAGCAAAAAGAGCTACTCAAAGCCCCTTCCAAGCAAAACCTGACCTGCAACAGCATCACATACACATACATTCACACACACACACACCACCGGTGCCTTTGCAAAGGGAACAAATTCCTCCGTGGCAATGGTAATATTCAAACACCACCCCTACTGAATCCAGTCATATTCTTGATATTGGGATGCCCAGTTTTGATTTAATATCAGATTTCTAGCACTATTTCACTAGTTTCCCCTTTCCAGGTCTCCCAATTCCTAGGAAGCATCATCTTTTTGGGAACTAATGTCTAATTCCCAAATGGTTGCATTTAGGCTAAAGCATGAGGTTGGGTGTATACACACACACACACACACACACATAGCTTTTATTTATTTTTTTAAATATTTTTCTTTATTGATTTGAGAGAGAGGGAGAGGGAGAGGGAGAGACAGAAACATCGATGAGAGAGAACACTGATTGGCTGCCTCCTGCACACCCCCTACTGGAGATCAGGCCCACAACCTGAGAATGTGCCCTAACCAGGAATCAAACTCTTGACCTCTTAGTGCATGGGTCAATGCTCAACCACTGAGCCACAACGGCAGGGCACGGCTGTTTTCTAATCATGGCAGTTATAGCCCTAAATTATTTTATTTGGACAAGTTCAAATCCTGCTGCATTCTCAGGGCATTATCTGAAACAGTTTGTGCCACTGTTTGGTTATTAAATGCTCTGTTGTTTCTAGAGACCATCAAGAGAGAATCCACATGCTGCTACTACATTCACAAATCTCCAGAAATTCTCTCCCTTGCTCTCACTGGTCTTATTATGAGTTCCTCTCACTTGAACACCCTCAAGAAACATGTCAAAGGTAATACTGGAGACAAGAAGCCAGAGTGCTCTCACTGGAGGTTAAAAAAGTGTTTATTATGCACCCTTCAAACCACTAGAGTCGTGAGCAGAAAAAAGCCCTATTGGAAAGGCAGGCAGTGAAATTAGATGTCACTTTCAGAACTCTGCTGTGCAATTTATAGATTAAAGGTATACCTCCAACCAGGGATAGTACAATCTTTCAAGTGATGTATGTAGGCAGAATCCTAAAGTGGCCCCAAGATTCTGGGCCCTTTATACCCACATATTCTCCCTGTTATTCAAACACTAATCAAGGTACTATGGTGGAGGATTCTGTAGATGAAATTAATGTCCCAAATCAGTTGACCTTAAGATAGAAAGACCTGAAACAACCCAAATATCCATCAGCAGATAAATTGATAAACAAAAGGTGGTACATACATACAACAGCATACATGCCACAATATGGATGAACCTTGAAAACATTAGGCTAAGTGAAATAAACCAGGCACAAAAGGACAAATTCTGCATGACTCCACTTATATGAAGTATCTACGATAGGTAAATTCATAGAAACAAAAAGTAGAATAGAGCCCCGGCTGGTATGGCTCAGCTGTTAAGAGCGTCAGCCCACGGAACAGAGAGTCCCGGGTTCAGTTTCCACTAAGGGCATGTACCTCGGTTGCAGTTTGTCCCCGGCCCCGGTTGGGGTCTGTGGGTGGCAGCCAGTCGATGTGTTTCTCTCTTTCTCTTCCTCCCTCTTGCCCTCCCACTCTATGTGAAGATAAATGCAAAAATGTCCTCAGGTGAGGATAAATAAATAAGTAAATAAAACTTTTTATTTTTTTTAAAAGTAGAAGATGCAAAGGGTTCTCAACCTGTGGGTCATGACCCCTTTGGGGGTTGAATGACCCTTTCACAGGGGTCGCCTAAGACATAACAGTAGCAAAATTACAGTTATGAAGTAGCAACAAAAATAATTTTATGGTTAGGGGTCACCACAACATGAGGAACTGTATTCAAGGGTCGCGGCATTAGGAAGGTTGAGAACCTCTGGGCTAAAGGGAGTGGGGAATGGGGAGTTACTGTTTGACTAGACTTTCTGTTTGGGATGATGAAAAAGTTCTTGGAAGTGAGAGGGGTAGGGGCAAAGAGACTGAATAACATTAGCCTTTAAAACAGAATAGAATAAATGCTAGCTATTAGAGATAACTTAGGTCTTTAAAACTTATGTGATATAAAACTTGAAATGTTCATGGCAGCCTCATTATTCATAATAGCTAAAGAGTGAAAATAACCCTAAATGTCCAACAACTGATAAGTGGATAAATAAAATGTAGTCTATCCATACAGTGGCATGTAATTCAACCATAAAAAGGAATAAAGTTCTGATACATGTTACAACATAGATGAACCTTGAAACCAACTAAGTGAAAGAAGTCAGTCACAAAGACCACATATTGTATGAGTCCATTTATTTTTGGTTTTTAAAAATGTTTTTATTGATTTGAGGGAGAGGGGAAAGGAGAGGGAGAGAGAGAGAGAGAAACATCAATTGGCTGCCTCCTGCATGCCCCCTACTGGAGATCAAGCCCACGATCTAGGCATGTGCCCTGACTGGGAATCAAACCGGGAACCTTTTGGTACACAGGACAATGCCCAACCAACTGAGTCCATTTGTATGAAATATCCAGAAGAGCAAATCTACTCTGTAGACAGAAAGTAAATTAGTGTAATAGTGGAGGGTTGGAAGTTGGGGCGGGGGGGAACGGGGGGTAGCTAAAGTATATAGGGTTTCTTTTTGGGGTGAAGAAAATGTTCTGAAATGACTGTAGAAATAGTTGCACATTCCATGAATATACATACTAAAACCCACTGAACTGTGTACACTTTATTTTTTGTTTTTTATCCTCACCCGAGGACATTTTTTCCATTTTGTTCAGATAGAGCGGGAGGGAGAGAGAGGAAGAGAGAGAGAGAGAAACATCGATGTGAAGGGACACATCGAGTGGCTGCCACCCGCATGACCAACCAGGGCCGGGGACAAACTGCAACCGAGGTACGTGCCCTTAGCGGGAACCGAACCCGGGTCTCTCAGGACCGCAGGTCGACGCTCCAACCGCTGCGCCAAACCGGCCAGGGCTGAACTGTGTACACTTTAAACAGGTGAATTGTATGATATATAAATTATATCTCAATAAAACTGTTACCCAAAACAAGTTTATGTGATAACATTTTCATCTTTTAAAAAAGAACAAGTATGCCCTGGCCAATTTAGCTCAGCAGTTAGAGCATCGGCCTGCGGACCAAAGAGTCCTGGGTTCGACTCCTGCTAAGGGCATATACCTCGGTTGCAGTTTGTCCCCGGCCCCAGTTGGGGTCGCTTAGGTAGCAACCACTCGATGTATCTCTCTCGCATCAATGTTTCTCTCTCTCTCTTCCCCCCTCTCTCCCTCCTGCTCTATCTGAAGATAAATGCAAAAATGTCCCCAGGTGAGGATTCAAAAAAAAAAAGAACAGGTATGTCCTGGCTGATTTGGCTCAGCGGTTAGAGCATCGGCCCGTGGACTAAAGGTTTGATTCCCAGTCAAGGGCACATACCTGAGTTGCAGGTTCAATCCTGGCCCTGGTTGGGATCGTGTGGGATACAATCAATCAATGTGTCTCTCTCATATTGATCTCTCTCTCTCTCTCCCTCCCTCCCTCCTTTCCTCCCTCCCATCCACTCTACCTAAAAATCAGTGGAAAAATATCCTCAGGTAAGAATTAACAAAAAAATAAAAATAAGTAAATAAATAAATAATAACAGGTATAAAACTTTGTAGTCAAATAACACTCAATTTGGAGATGGATTGCATTACAAATCTATTTTGGATTTACAGTTAAATTTTGATATAATCACAAGGGTTCTGTTTAGAAAGGTGATCTCTCCGGGAAGAAATCATAATACAGCTTCGTAAGACTATCGTTCTACTTTGATTAAATGCAAAGAAAAACTTCTCTAGAGAAACCTTTGCTATCTGTAAAACAAAATCTAGGGTTTGTGTATTTGAAGGGACTAGAAAAGAAATCAACTTTTCCTCTTTCAAGCCAGGCTGAATTATAAAAAGAGCCATTCAAAAAAAAAAAAGACAAGCCCTGGCTAGTTTGACTCAGCGGTTAGAACGGAGGCCTGCAGTCCAGAAAGACCCGGGTTTGGTTCCCGCTAAGGGCGCGTACCTCGGTTGCAGTTTGTCCCCGGCCCTGGTTGGTGGTGTGGGTACAGCCACTCGATGTGTCCCTTTCACGTCGATGTTTCTCTCTCTCTCTCTTCCTCCCACTGTATCTGAACAAAAAAATGGAAAAATGTCCTTGTGTGAGGATAAAAAAAAGAGAGAGAAAAAAACCAAAAAAACAAAAGCACTTCACTCGTTCATCCTTCCAAATGACAGAAAAACAGCCAATCAATGCAAATAAGGACTATGTCAGTTCCCCTAATATCAGTTTTTCACCTGAGCAAAGATTATAATGTATGCATTATCAGTTTTTTTTGGGGGGGAGTACATTTATTAAAGCTGGGGACAGTGAAACAAAAGAAGGGCTTAAGGTAGAAGAGACAAGATCACAGCAACAAAACTGAACCTAGGCAAGGCTGCCTTGGCCCTTTAGAAATAAAGTCACAGAAGCAGAAGTGAGCCACACTGGGGGGGTTGATTCAGGAAACAAGTTATAGAGGCAAAAGGAGGGCCCTTAGAGACAGGTTCAGGGGGTTAGCCCAGGACACACTGTTGCTGCCCACTGCTCCCCTGGTTGCAAGTCTCCTGGGAACCTTTAGAGCTTAGGAGAAAGAAAGTAGACACATGCCTCAGGAAAGATGGAAGGGAGAA